TTATCCACGATTTTTATGTCATGAAAAAAGAAGTGCCAACTTTGCGAAAGCTTCTACTTGCGATCCGAGAAAAAATTGATTTTCCATGGCAAAAAACAAGTTTGTATTATTTGTTGAAAAGAATGGGTTTCGCATGGAAGAAAACGCAAAACATACGGACGGTACTGATTGAAAAGATATATATTGTAAATTGGCGCGGAAAATATTTAAAAACACTGGACTGCTATCGAAGAGCTGGACGGAATATAATATACCTAGATGAAACGTGTGTAGACAATACAATTACCTTTGGTAAATGCTGGCAAAGCGAGAATGAGCCAGGTATTTTACAAAGTTCCAGTTCCTCTGTAAGATTGATAATTGTGCATGCGGGTGGGAAGAATGGGTTTGTACCAGGAGCAGCTTTAATTTTCAAAGCAGACAGCACGAGAGGTGATTATAATGGCCAAATGAATGCAATTAATTTCGAAAAATGGATGCAGGAAATGTTGATCCCTAACATTCTGCCGAATACGGTAATCGTAATGGACAATGCCCCATACCACTCAGCAGAATTAAACAAGCCACCCTCAACACAAGCAACAAAAACAGATATGGAATATTGGCTAATAATCAATGGCATTCAGAGGTCTGAAAATAAGAGAAAATTTGAATTACTGGAATTAATAGATAGAAATCGACCACCAAAAACCTATAAAATAGATCAAATAGTCCAACTACATGGACACATAATACTACGATTACCCCCTTATATCGGTGATCTGAATCCGATCGAGTTAAGCTCTGTCCAGACTGGCCGACAATTGTCCACAGTCATGTGTCCGCATACAGTCTTCGAACACTATCTGCGGACAATTCACGAATGTTAAAAGACAAATGGAATTTGTAAACAATCCGCGGACAGTCCACGGGTAAGTATTTTGTTTTCCGTTTCCAGGGAAAACAACAGACAATATCTGCAGACAAATAGTAAATAAATTAGCAGAAACAGTTCATTCGTGTTCATTTCGTATTATCACGTCCTGTGACGCATTCTTGAAACTTCTATTTCACCATCCAAATTCTTTAAACTTCTATTGCACCATCCAAATTCATCGTTCCGCAAATTCTGAGTGAGCAACTCAGTCGGGTCATCGTACGGCAAGAACGCTGACGATCCGGAGGTGGTTCACCCGAATTGCCAAATCAAACGTGACCTCGTTCATTAATATAAAATAACGCGACCAAGCCCGCCCGCGCCCAGTATACCAGTATACCAGAAATAGTACAGAAACAGTGTAGACAAGAACAGTATAGAAACAGTGCAGATTCAGAAGTTATCGCGATCAGATCAGATCATTTCAACAATTCTTAAATCGTTAAATCCGCGAAGATAATCCGCGAAGTACTGCTCAGAGTTCGATACTCTAGAATCTATAGGACTCTGCTACGAAGCTCAGGGCTTCGACAGAGCAAGATTCCGGTAACATCGATAAATTAATTAAGTCTAGCCTATACGACTCTGCTACGAAGCTCAGTACTTCGACAGAGCAAAGTTCTGTAACCTTCAATTGTAAAACGCGCGCGAATCAAAGACTGTACTCGTAACGAATAAACATACATTGTGATCGGAAGTGCGTGATCCTCATTCAACCGTCTACCCTACCCGGTCCAATACCTGGACGACTCACCACTACAGGTTCTATCCACAGATAAGTTCTACTCGCCTAGCGAAAGGTAAGTGAGAATCGCTATTTAACTAACAACGCAGATTAAATTACATAAAGTACGCCGAGGACTCAGTGAGAGAGAGAACTCCGCGACTTTACAAACAACATAAGACTTTCGTCAATGCACAAATTTTCGTACGGGTAAAATGATTGTGAGAAAGAGTTCTTAAGTGCATCATGTATGGGTCGTATTTTTATTAGTGGATCATCACTTCTTACATTATTATTATTAAAATGTAACATTTGCAATAATACCATGTATCTGTCTCGTCCCATAATTTTTCGAAAAATGTTGGTTTCTATCATCTGATCAGTCGACCAATACTCATTTAGAGTCAATTTTTTCACCTGCGGCATTAACATCATGATGGCCAAAAATCCATACATCTCACATATTGATGTGTCTTTCCAAGAATTAAGACGAGAATGCGTTTTAGGTGTAGTATTTTCGATCACAAATGTACAATAATTGTTCGTCTCTTTTGTAATATGAGAAACTAACTCTTCGGAAAAGAAAAGTTGGAAAGCATCTAAAGGTGTGGATTCCGGAGCTAAATTTCCTTTCACTCCAGAATTTTGATCGTTAAATACATGTATTATGGGTTTGAAATTATTCTTCGACCATAACAACGTTGAAAGCATTTCATCCGAATCGAAGTTCTCTAAATTTGAATTTGAATTTAAATCCTCCTCATCTGTAGAAGTACTAAGTATTCTTGACCGTTTATTTTCCCTTCTACACCTAACAATCCCATTATTGACGCTATTTTCTATATCTTCCGAATCAGATAATGGTGGAACATATTGGTGTGTTTCTTGTATTCCACCATTATAATCTTCACTGAAATCTAATGTTTCATCCAAGTCACTGTCCTCTTGTGTAACGAATTCTCTGAAACTGCTACACATTTTGAAGGTACTAACAATCACAACTGTATGGCTACAAATGAAACGAGTTTAAGAGACTAACTGACGAAACAAACAAGATTTTGTTTATTCTCGTTGCTAAGCAGTGAGGTATGTGGTTTCTGCGAGTGTTGGACACATACGATAGCAACAATTACCGAAAATACACATGAAACAATAGTAAACGACCAAAGCATTCGCTGGGCGCATATATGCGTCCATAGGCCACACTGATAGCTTTCGCCGGGCGCATATATGCGTCCATAGGCCACACTGATAGCCTTCGCTGGACGCATATATGCGCCCATAGCAGTCAAAGGGTTAAGCAAAAAATTAGAAAAAAAAGAACTCGCTGTACCACCTGCAGGCTTTCCCTAATGAAAGCTTTCCCCGGCAATCATGATAAATCTAGTCCTGAACGAATTTATAATTATAGACTGTGCAGAGCACGTAGAATCGTAGAGAACGTATTTGGCATTCTCTCATCTAAATTTAGAGTCTTTTTAAAACCTATAGCTTTAAGTCCCAAAAAAGTAGAAATTGTTACATTGACATGTATTTATTTACATAATTTTTTGCGTAGAAACTCTATTGCAAGAAATTATTATTCACCACCGGGAACATTTGACAGGGACAATTTAGAAAATGGTACAATTTTAGCAGGGAGTTGGAGGGCAGAAATGGAAAATCGTAATAATTTTAATGACTTACAACATATTGCTAGAAGCATATGAAATTAGAAAAGAATTCATGCAATATTTCATGACTCCAATAGGTTCAGTTTGATGGCAAAATGATTATGTGTAAATGTTAAATTGTGTTACTCTCTTCCTTTTTGTTAAACTAAACATTCAAGACAATTAAATTATTAAAAATTATATACTTACTTCAGTGTTATCATTCACATCAGATGGATCATCGATGGTGCATCTGCTAATTCTTGGTTCGCTTTGTTTAGTTAAAAATGATAGGGATTCATAAGCGAACCATGAAGGATTTTTCAGCGATGAACCGCTCTTCCTATTATTTGAAAGTTTTTTATGTTGCCTTCGAAATTGGCACTTCACGTTTGATATTTTTTTTTCAACATCATTAAGACCAATGTCGTATTTTATAGATAAATACAACATCACATCATTCTTTTTATTTCTATTGCGATAATCACAACTTATTACATTCCATAAGCATTCATTTGACCACATATTAAATAATAATAGAAAATAAATAATATACACAGATTAAAAATAATATGAAATACTGAAAAATATTGAACACGAATTGAATTGAATACTGTAAAGTCGCGGAGTTCTCTCTCTCACTGAGTCCTCGGCGTACTTTATGTAATTTAATCTGCGTTGTTAGTTAAATAGCGATTCTCACTTACCTTTCGCTAGGCGAGTAGAACTTATCTGTGGATAGAACCTGTAGTGGTGAGTCGTCCAGGTATTGGACCGGGTAGGGTAGACGGTTGAATGAGGATCACGCACTTCCGATCACAATGTATGTTTATTCGTTACGAGTACAGTCTTTGATTCGCGCGCGTTTTACAATTGAAGGTTACAGAACTTTGCTCTGTCGAAGTACTGAGCTTCGTAGCAGAGTCGTATAGGCTAGACTTAATTAATTTATCGATGTTACCGGAATCTTGCTCTGTCGAAGCCCTGAGCTTCGTAGCAGAGTCGTGTAGATTCTAGAGTATCGAACTCTGAGCGGTACTTCGCGGATTATCTTCGCGGATTTAATGATTTACAGATGGTCTGAGTGGTTTAGTCTGATCGCGATACTTTCGGTTTCGTACTATGTTGATAAGTCGATGAACCGTTTAGATGTACTGATAAGAACTGCGCCTATGAGAACTTCTTACGAGAACTATTGGTAAAATTGACTGTGTGCGGGCGGGCCCGGTCGCGTTATTTTATATTGATAAATGAGGTCGACATTTGATTTGGCAATTCGGGTGAACCACCTCGTTCGGATCGTCAGCGTTCTCGCCGTACGACGACCCGGCTGAGTTGCTCACTCAGAATTTGCGGAACGATGAATTTGGATGGTGCAATAGAAGTTTAAAGAATTTGGGTGATGAAATAAAAGTTTCAAGAATGCGTCGCAGGACGTGACAATACATATATTGTACTGATTTTAATTGTGAAATCAATCACAAAATTAAGGAAACTTATGTTTATTTACGTGCATATAGAATGCGTCACAGGACGTGACATGTTCAAAGGCCGATGTTACTTTAAACAATTTATTCCTTCCAAAAGAAGCAGATTTGGTATTAAATCATTTATACTCTGTGATTGCACAACTAACTATGTGCTAGATTTTATAATATATACCGGAAAAAATACAGATATTGTACGTAATTTTACAACCATTGGACAATCGGCAAATGTTGTCATGACACTTTTACGTCCATATTTTGGGAAAGGTCATACAGTGATAACAGACAATTGGTACACAAGTCCACATTTATATAATTTGCTACATAAACATAAAACAAATGCGTATGGAACAGTACGGAAAAATAGATGTTTTTACGTACAGTGCGCGACAAGCTACGACCATAGGATGCGTTGAGAGCCGGGTCAACAGAGGTCGTAAGTCTCTGTTCGATGTTACACCGATAACTTCATTCACGCACGAACCTACGACCCTTTAAGGTGATAGGAGTAATTGAGGGTGTGTCTTGATTTGACGTAATAAATGTAGTCAAGATAAAACTGATAATTTAATTATATAGACAAGAAACGGATTATTGTTTGAATGGTTGAACAGTTAAATGGTTTTAATATTTGGAAGCTCAGAATTTGCGCGGGAAGATAACGTTTCCCTTGAGGAATGAGACGTTTTCCTCATGAAATCCAAAAACAGACCGATGAGACCGACTCCTTCAAGAACCTCTTGACTTTTCCAAATCGTGGGAGTCGGCCTCATCCCCTGATTGGTGACTATTTTCAAGACATGGTGGCCTTACTGACCCCAACCACCCCGAGCGTCCGAAACGCGGTCCGCGCGGAGTAAGGGTGTCAGTGGAGGTGGTAGGCGAAATCGCGCGCAACTCCGTCCGCGGAGTGGAACCCCCGCTGGGCCTGGGTCCCGGAAACTGACACAGATGTTGGCCATCAGGTTCAGTCACAAGGCCCCTCGGAGATTCACGTCTATGGTACCTGCAAGGTCGCTGAAAATACGAAATTACTGCAAATAAATCAAAGGATTTACTCAACTGACCCCGCAGGCTTGCATACCATAAACGTGCCAGCGGTCTGCACCCCAGATGCCCCTCCGAGGACAAACCCGCCAGCCACTCGACGGACGGCTATTGTTAGATAGTATTCAAGCAATAAAAAATACAGAAAAATATAAATTTCGGAAGCAGGGTCCCATGTATTCGTCACGGAACATCCTCCCCCCGTTGATTGGATACCGATCAAGATATACGTGATAATATGAGCCTGTTTGCTACTTAAGCTACAAAATACTAAATGACTTATTAATTAATTCTATGAAGTTTAAATGCTAATGATTATATAACCTAATAATATATATATTCACGTATGCAATTGATTAATATATGTTTAAATGTAAAGAATATCAAAATATATAATAAAGTCCAATGAATTCAATCATCGATTGGATTGACATTCGCTGTCGATGCTGGCTCTTCCGGCTCGTTGCTTCTTTCTTCGACCTGATAAGGCAAGGGTACCAGACGCTTCACGCTCCGATCTAGCTCACTCGCAGCCGTTTTAATTGTCACGGTGCGAATGATGCCGTCGGAACCCGGGTACGTTCTGAGCACCCTACCCAAGGCCCATTGCATGGGAGGTACATTGTCTTCCCTAAGAAGGACTAACGTGCCCTCTTTGATGGGATGTTCTCCTTTGCTCCATTTGGTACGTCTTGTGAGCTCATTTAAATACTCGCGATGCCAACGAGTCCAAAAGTGCTGCTTGATCCTCTGAATGAACTGCCAGCTCGAAAGACGATTTGGAGGCGTGTCTAAGTAGTCTCGCTCACGTAGACTCGTAAGCGAATCGCCAATCAGGAAATGACCGGGTTAACACTAGGAGGTCATTAGGGTCTGAAGACATGGGTGTTAATGGTCGGGAATTTAAAATTGACTCAATTTCAATAATCAAGGTATTAAAATCCTCGAAAGTGAATAGCTCAGTACCCGCGACGCGAAGGAGATGGTTTTTGAAGGACTTTACAGCTGCTTCCCATAAACCCCCAAAATGTGGTGCGCGTGGAGGTATGAAGCTCCACTCTATTGACCGTTGTGCGAGAAAGTTTTGTACCTTTGTATTATGTTCGTCCGATCTGATGAGTCGTGGAATTTCCTGTATTTCGTTATTTGCTCCAACGAAATTGGTTCCGTTATCTGAATGTATTTTAACGCAATACCCGCGTCGAGCAATGAATCTTCTGAGCGCTGCGATGAATGCTTCGCTGGTAAGATCACTCACCATCTCTAAATGAACTGCCTTAACTGCGAGGCAGACGAAGACCGCTACGTAAACCTTTATTCGCGTGCGATTACGATGACGGCGTTCCTTGATGTAAAAAGGGCCACAGTAATCTACCCCTACGTTAGTAAATGGCCGAGCTTCCGTTACCCTTGCTTCTGGCAATTCACCCATAATGTAATTGGTGGCCGGTGGTCGGGCCCGGAGACAACGGGTACAGGTGCGTAACGCCTTCCATACCTGGTTGCGACCGTCAATAGGCCAGAAACGGCGTCTAACGGCATATAATTGAACCCCAGCATGCAGTTGAGCTCGGTGCTCGGCTTCAATGATGAGACCTGTGACACGTGCCTTTGGCAAAATTATAGGGTGACGTTGTGTAAAAGGCATTGAAGAATGCTTTAGCCGACCGCCAACTCGGACAATCCCGTCTTTATCTACGAATGGGGACAATCTTTGTAATTTTCCCGCGATTTCAGGGTTGGAACTTGACGATAAGCATCGCAATTCTTTGGAGAAATGTATCCGTTGCAGGAGTTTAATAATGACGTCACGAGCGTGCCTCAATTCTACCGGCGTTAGGGGACCCTTAATCATGTTGTCCCCTTTCCACCGAAGGCACCATGCGACTATCCTTTGCATTTTCTCCCACGAAGAGTAATCGTCAAGGATGTTAGTATCCAGAGGACTGACCTTTAAACAGGTTGCAGTCCTCTGCTCCGGAATGAAGTTGCACGGTACCAGATCTCTCGTTGGCCACGAGACTTCCTCATGCTTGAGCCATTCTGGCCCGTGATGCCAGATGGAAGGCTGCAAAAATTCTTCAGGATGTTGCCCGCGCGAGATAAGGTCTGCCGGGTTGTCTGTTGTCGGAACGTGACGCCAATCTCCTATATTGGTTCGCGCTTGAATTTCCGAAATCCGGTTGGCGACAAATGTTTTTAATGTATGCGGTGACGTTTGTAACCAATGAAGAACGACTGTTGAATCGGTCCAGAAAATGGTACGGTTGAGCTTTACATGTAGGGCTTTTTTAACGGTATTGTATAATGTCGTTAGGAGCAAGGCTCCGCAGAGTTCTAGTCGTGGAATACTCTGTGTTTTCAATGGTGCCACTTTAGATTTGGCTAATGAAAGTTCTACGGTCGTATTGTCATGCATATCCGATGAGCGAATGTAGATGCAGGCTCCATAAGCTTTTTCACTAGCGTCGCAGAAACCGTGTAATTCGATCCTGCTTGGTGTGTCGATCACGGTTCTCCTCCGGAAAACGGTGCTATTTAAGAGAGGAAGCTGCGTATGAAACTGTTTCCATTCTGTGTGGATGTCCATTGGTAAGGATTCATCCCAATCCACTTTGATGGTCCAAATTCTTTGGAGCAGCATCTTTGCAACAATAATGACCGGTCCGATAAGACCCAGTGGGTCGTAAATTTTGGCGATTTCTGACGTAATAAATCGCTTAGTAACGTATGAATTTGCGATCTGTGTTTTGACTTCATATGATATGGAGTCATTTGCAGAATCCCAAATTATTCCTAAAGTCTTCAGCGTTGATGATTCCCCGATACGAATCTTCCTGTTTATAGACTCTTCTGGGAGGTTTCGCAAAAGATCTTCATGGTTGGATGCCCACTGACGAATGTTGAGGGAAGCTAATTTTAGTAATTGTGTCAGATCTTCCCGCAATGACGCTGCCTCTTGCAATGTAGATGCCCCAGTCAACAGGTCGTCCACGTAAAAGTCGCGACGCAATATCTGGGCGGCACGAGGAAACCGATGACATTCATCCTGGGCCAATTGCGTAAGGCAGCGGATTGCCAGGTAGGGTGCCGTGGAAAGTCCGAAAGTGACCGTCCTTAGCTTGTACGTCTGAATTTCACGGCTCGCATCACGCCACAGGACGCGTTGATATTTTTGATCCTCGTCACGTACGAGAAATTGCCTATACATTTTCTCGATGTCACCGGTTATCACGTAACGGTGAACGCGAAATCGTAGAAGAATGTACAACAAGTCTTCCTGTATTCGTGGTCCTATATGCAGCGCGTCATTCAATGAGATGCCCGAGCTAGTAGCCGCGGAACCGTCGAACACCACGCGGAGTTTCGTGGTCTCGCTTGTGATCTTCGTGACTCCATGATGAGGCAGGTAATATCCATCGGATGGGCACTGAATGTTCGTGACCTTGGTCATGTGTCCAAGGTCAAGGTACTCCTGAATGACCGCGTGATATTCCCCCCTCAACGTGGCGTCTCGTTGCAGCTTTCGCTCGAGAGATTCCAAGCGTTTCAATGCTCTTGCTCTGGATTCTCCCAGCAACAACAACTTGTCATTAAAAGGCAATGCGACCACGTACCGTCCGTCGGAATTCCTCTTGACGTGTTGCTGAAAATGTTTCTCGCAGAATTTATCCGATTCTGAGAGAAGTTGTAGTTGAGGACCTTCTTCTATTTCCCAGAAGCGTGCGAGGTCGTGTTGTAGCGCGGTAGTCGCGTTGCAAGAAACAATTCGTGATTTTATTGGTTTTGGTGGACTCCCCCCTATGACCCATCCGAGTCTCGTCTTCTGTAGATATAAGTCGGGTCCATCAGGAGGAGAGAGATTGATCTGTCCGACGCTTACGAGCGACAATGCAGTTCCAGAGCCGAGTAACAGATCGATCGGTGCTGGACGGTGAAATTCTGGATCTGCTAAGTTGAGATTCTTCGGAATTTTAATATTCGAGCGGTCAATCTGTTGATCCGGAATCAATGACGCGATCTTTGGTATCATTAAGAACGTTAATGTGCGCTGATATTCATTAGTTTTAGAACGAATCGTAGCCGTGACTGTATGTTTCGCGACCGTAGACAATGTATTGAGAGCCCCCACAGGAATATGACATGGTTTCCTCGAGATATCGAGCCTTTTCACGAGGTCTTCCGTTATGAAATTGTTCGTTGCACCTGTATCGATCAAGGTCCTACAGTTTACGGGTCGTTGATCCTTGTCGATTACATAGACTTGAGCGGTAACAAGAAGCTCATTGTCTATTGTGTTGACAACGAAAACATTTATACGACTCGTATCTTTGGGGGTCTCAGGTAGTTCTGGTCATTCGCCAGTGTCTACCTGCGTGTCTGCAGGTGTGCCTGCCGATGTGCCTGCCGATGTGCCTGCCGATGTGCCTGCCGATGTGCTGAGCTTTGTCGGCGGGGTGGTTGTCGGGCGGTTGACAACCTGCGTCGGTAAATGCAGTAGCGTATGATGGTGCTTTTTGCATCTGCGACACGAACCCTTTTTACAGAGTTCTAGATTGTGCTCGGCTCTTAAACAGTTTGAGCACAACGAGGCCTTCCTGACAGCCGACAATCGTGCACCGACTGATAACGCGTGGAATTTTTCGCAGCGCCAAATACCGTGTTCATCCTGACAAATCGGGCATCGTGGATAATTCGCGGATGTCCCGCTTGGTTTTACCGTCTCACGGGAATTCTGTGTCTCATTCGCGCGAGTCGTGGTCACGAAAGCGTGGCTTCGCGAAGATTGTTTAACAATCGATTTTCCTGGTGGACCGCGGTTGTGTTGTCCGTCTGTTTGCGCTGGCTTTTGATGAGTCATGATTATGCAGTTTGCGCGTTTATCTAAAAATTCGAGCAAACTCGCAAAGGTCGGCATTTGCTTATCCTTTAAAGATAATTCCCACTGATACACGGTTTCAGTGCTTAACTTTGTGAGAATGATCGCTATAAGAATGCTATCCCAAGAAGACGTGTCGACCTCTAAATTTTTTAACGACCGCAAAATTTTGGCGAACGGTATCGACGAGATCACCTAATGCCTCTGGCGAATCCCGCGTTATTTTCGGCAATCCGATTATCGCGTTACAATGCTTTAATAAGATTCTGCGTTTACAATCGAATTTCTCTTTTAATAATTCAATCGCATCTGCATAGTTAGAATCCGTTGTGCTTAACGATTGGATACACGCGGCGGCCTTCCCAGTGAGTGTTGATCGTAAATATTGTAATTTTTGAACAAGTGATAAATCTGCATTTTGATCAATCATTGAAGAAAAACTCTCAAAATACGATGCCCAATTCTCGATTTTCCCATCAAACGTTGGCAATCGCATCTCTGGTAATTTAATTGCCATCGGGGCCGTTACGGAGGGCGCGGAAGAGTCTGTGGTGATGCGTCAAGGGGGCATCCTAGGACGGTCTCCCTCGATGAGTGCATTCGCACTTGCGACCACCGCAATGTAATCTCCATGGATTTGGTAACGCCGCGGTACTTCGCTTTCGTCAGCCTCTTCCAGTTCCAGCTGAATAGCGTCGAAACGATCCCAGATTTCGTATAAATTCGTTAAATGTGCCCGTAAAAGTCCTAAATCGCGTTGCTCGGACTTTTTCGCGGTATCGAGGAGCTTTGAGAATGCGGTAATGTGCCCAACAATATTGCCGCGTTTACGTCGCAGGGTACTGAGATTAATGCCTTGCGAAGTGGATTGACTCGTGGATTGGTCTAACGCTTTAGGCATCGTGATAAGGAATAGTATGTAACAGGGACTTGGCGAAAACTAACGAGCCTACCTTTACGATGCGAGGTCGTTGCAGATTTCCACGGTGTCCTGTCCTCGGGATGCTGCTTGGATGTGGATGCTGCGCTCACGTTGAAGATCGTCCGAACTCCCTGGATGCGTGGGTGATCTGGCGATTGCTGCGTCACCCTCAAGCTGCACCCTTGTCCAACGTTGAATTAATATCCTTGGAGTGATCTTATGTGTCAGGATCCTGTCAGGATCTTATGTGTCAACCGGAACTCTACTGCGTGAGTTATTCGATTGCGTACGGTGAAAATTCACTTCCAAAGTTGCGAACAGTGCAGGCTGTGCACGTTTATTCATTCACAATAAGATTTGTTAATGTTTTGTATCAGGATAGCCTGAAGTAACACTGAGCTTGAGTATGTAAAATTCACATGTCACCAACATCCGGCTCGAAGGACCATAAAAAATGTTTTTACGTACAGTGCGCGACAAGCTACGACCATAGGATGCGTTGAGAGCCGGGTCAACAGAGGTCGTAAGTCTCTGTTCGATGTTACACCGATAACTTCATTCACGCACGAACCTACGACCCTTTAAGGTGATAGGAGTAATTGAGGGTGTGTCTTGATTTGACGTAATAAATGTAGTCAAGATAAAACTGATAATTTAATTATATAGACAAGAAACGGATTATTGTTTGAATGGTTGAACAGTTAAATGGTTTTAATATTTGGAAGCTCAGAATTTGCGCGGGAAGATAACGTTTCCCTTGAGGAATGAGACGTTTTCCTCATGAAATCCAAAAACAGACCGATGAGACCGACTCCTTCAAGAACCTCTTGACTTTTCCAAATCGTGGGAGTCGGCCTCATCCCCTGATTGGTGACTATTTTCACCAATGACATGGTGGCCTTACTGACCCCAACCACCCCGAGCGTCCGAAACGCGGTCCGCGCGGAGTAAGGGTGTCAGTGGAGGTGGTAGGCGAAATCGCGCGCAACTCCGTCCGCGGAGTGGAACCCCCGCTGGGCCTGGGTCCCGGAAACTGACACAGATGTTGGCCATCAGGTTCAGTCACAAGGCCCCTCGGAGATTCACGTCTATAGTACCTGCAAGGTCGCTGAAAATACGAAATTACTGCAAATAAATCAAAGGATTTACTCAACTGACCCCGCAGGCTTGCATACCATAAACGTGCCAGCGGTCTGCACCCCAGATGCCCCTCCGAGGACAAACCCGCCAGCCACTCGACGGACGGCTATTGTTAGATAGTATTCAAGCAATAAAAAATACAGAAAAATATAAATTTCGGAAACAGGGTCCCATGTATTCGTCACGGAACAATAGAAGAGATATGCCCCATATGGAGGGAAATATGAGGAAAGGAAAATTTGACTACCGGTGTACAGATAATTTATTGGCATTGAAATGGCGAGATAAAAAAGATGTGTGGATGTTATCGAGTGCTTACGAACCTAAAATGATAGAATCTGGTCGAAGACATTATCTTACAGGATCGCAGAAGTTAAAACCAGAATGTGTTGCAGATTACAACATCAAGATGGGTTCTGTGGATCGTGTTGATATGGTTTTAAGCACACTTGATTCATCCAGAAAATGTCTAAAGTGGTATAAAAAGTTTTTTTTCCATTTATTAGACATCTCATTATATAACTCCTATATTCTATATCAAAGTGTTACCAGTAAAAAACTAAAATATAACGATTTCCACCTGAGATTAATAAAACAAATTCTGCAAAAATATCCGCAAAATAGGAATCAAGCGGGTGGTGGGAAAAGAAACATAGAAATCTTACCATTCCGTCTGACGGATAGACATTTCCCTTCGAAAATTTTAAAAGCAGGAGGCAATTTGACAAGAAGAAAATGTGTTGTCTGCAGGAATCACAAAAAAAGGAGGGATACACCATACGAATGTAAAAAATGCGACATCGGATTATGTGTTGATACTTGTTTTGAGATTTACCATACGCAATTGAACTATTAATTTTCCTATTGTTCTTCTTTCTTAAAATATATGTATTCGAAATTTATAGTTTTTGTACAAAGTATTTATGTTACGGTTATTATACGTAAGTAGTATTTATATAATCGTTCCTATGATTTGTTTAATTTTTCAAATTTGAATATCCATATACATTATAATTATCAAATTACGGCGTTTTAAAACATTAATATTGGTAAATACACAGTGTAAATTGAAAATAAAAAATGTCTGGATTCGCTTTGGAGTAGACAAAGTAATAGTAATTGGATTGTGTACTATATCATAATGTGTTAGTACGCCGCCGACGAGATCCATACTACGCGAAAAAGTATTCAGTCCCCAGCGATTGCATCCGCGAGCCGCATGCCGCTCACGCGAAGCGCTTCAAGTTAGAACAGCTAGCAGTCAAAGGGTTAATATCGCGTGATGAAAAACTCCACCGTCAGAAATACGCCCTTGACAATATTACGTCCCGGCGGAAAATCTGAAATTTATCCGCCTTGCGTCCCTTATCAAGCCCTTTTGGGTTACGAGAATCTCTCATGTAAGGGGCGTACAGGCGGGTGTTTCGGTTTTCCGCCAACCTTTCCATTCCTCTTCGACCTTGTACATTCTTGTCAAGCCTTTCGAGGTTACGAGGATTTCTCATGCAGGGGTGTACAAGGAAGAGTTTGAGCTTAATTCTTTTCAATAGTTTACGTGACCCTCCTTGAAACTATCGTCGCCAGCCATAAGTAATATAATACAGTAATAACGCACAAAAACTCGGGTTAGCGAGAGAGAGAGAGAGAGAGCCGTAGCATAACACCAGCGCTACGCAGTTAGCCAGTGCTTCGCATTCCGGGAATTTCCCTTGCTAGCTGCGTAGAAACGGGAAAATCGTAATAGTTCTTTTGTTAGAGAACTCTGTCTCTCTCTATTGTACAAAGCGTCAGCCGGTCCAACAAGGATCACCATTACCTGATCGTAACGATAGTATGAGAGAGTGGATGGATGAAAATGAATTTAAACAATGAAAGTAAGAATTGAGAACCCCTACGAAAGCGAACGTCGCGAACGTTCGACCGCCGCGGCGCGCCGTTCGAAAATCAAGGGTCGTTCGAAGCAATAAACATTATTGTATCGAAATTCTAAGAACTGCTTAGCGATAACGACAAATTTTGAACAAAGGAACGTTCTCGAAGGAACGTTCGCCAGATTGAGAATTGCTTAAAATTCATAGAATGCGAAATGCTGAATTCATCAAAGCGATAGTTTCTAATGTGCGATAGATTGTTGTAAAATGCATAATTCGCCACGGCATTACAACCACCGTAAGCGCATCATCCGCTTTTAAACCTATTAAATCAGACTATCTTTATTGCAAATCAGGAAAGTGAATAACATAGATCCTGATATACGGATGACGGTTTCCTCCATCAAAACCTGTAATTTCAAGTCTCATCTTGCAGTTCAATCGAATTAATAGTTATGAATTAATTCAATGCAATAGTTATATTACAATTCAATGCGATTAATTAATTATACATATAAAGAGAAATACTGCGTAGTTTCTGAAAACCGTTGAAACTATCATGGCGACGAAGTAGAAAAGAAAAGAACACCAAAGAAAGGGGATGAAAGATTTTCGTTTAGCTCGCGCGTCTCAACCAATCACCGGGCACGCGACACTACCGAAAACGGACTACGATTCGCCAAACCGTCCCCTCCAAGGACGATGTTCGCGCGACGGGCCCTTCGACCATCGATCGCGCACGAAATTTGTCACTCTTGATCGATCAATCGTAAGTACGTGATCGGGAGCCCGTGTGTCCGAGAGACAGAGTTATTTGGAAGTTCGCGATATTTTCTCTGCGGTAAAGTCCTCCGCGTAGCGAGGCAGAGTGCCGTGCGAGTTAAAATAATCGGAATTCTGAATAAGGACTCATAGACGCGCACGTAAAACCTTCTTTCTCCCTAATATTCTATCTTTTCTTTCTGTTTTTATCCGACTTCGAAAAGGAGGAGGATACTCAATTCGATCAGTATATTTTTTATTATTATTATTATTTTTTTTTTTTCCTGGCTTTGTTCACCGATTACTCCGAGATGAATGGACCAATCGGAATGAAATCTTTTGCATCTTGTAGAATATGTCTTCCGATTGGTCCGGTTATAAAAACATTTCGCATTTTTTTATTCCGAACGATTTTTATTGCAAAAAAACGTACTATTTCATGTACGTGCGGTGTATGTTCACCGATTATTCTGAGACGAAAAGGTTGAAATATATTTAGTATCCTATTTAACGATTAAGTAGATTGTACTAATAGCTGTGGAATACAGATATAAATGAAATAGAAATTATTTTATACTTTTTAGTGCATTTCTCTCTCTCACCGAGTCCTCTGCGCACGTGTATAATTAAATCTAAGCTGTTGATTAGGTAAAGGTTCTTACTTACCTTTTGCTGGGCGAGGATACCTGTAGAGATGAGTCGTCTTGGTTAGTGGAGACGGTAGGGTAGATGGTTTAATTGAAGTTCACGCACTTCCGATCACAACAAATGTTTATTTGGTTCGAGTACAATCCTTAACTTGCGCGCGTTTTACGAATGAGGTTTGCTCTATCGGATCCCTGAGTTCCGTAGCAGAGTCGTACTTCGCGGATTTCGGTACGCGTATTGGAATTTGAATCCCGGATTTTTGCTGGACGGACTGGCCGATTCTGAACGAATTTTCGCGGATTGCTTAGGTGATCTGATCACGACAAATTCTGAGTCTGCACTAACAAGGAGAGTGCAAGGCCTTCGTCTCACCGATTTCGTTGAAACTTTGCACACTTATAGATCTCGTTCTCCTGTTTACGAGTATATACCATTATAGGGGCAGATACTCAGTAGTTTTTTAGATATTTATAATTAAAGTTTTATTATTACCTTAAAGTAGATTGTAGTTGCGGCGACTACCAAGTGTAACGGTGGCGCAGTTGTAACGTATCAGGCTTCTACATCGACGATCCAGGGTTCAAATCCTGCGTGGTGTGGGTATGAATTTTTTTTTGATCCAGTTAATTGAATTGCACAATTACTTGTTATTTACAACAATGGTACTTGTCGTAAAAGCACGGGAAACATAGTGTACAAAAGCATTTTGCACATCGAACAAATGCAGTATTGTTGCATGAACATTTACTTTTTTGTATTTCTGTTGGAAAACAGACTTGGTTTACGTTTTCGAAAAGTAATCTTTCTGTAGACAGTCCAGCTGCAAATCATGCATACTGCAGCATAGGTTTAAAAATTGGTGCACAGAGTTGTTCATGAATGAGCGAATGTAATTTAATAGAATCTTCCCTGCTTGCAATTTCTCTTTCGTGCTCTATCAGATAAGTACAGTTTTGTGTCTTTTTCAAAAAATTGTTGTAAATAACAAGTAATTGTGTAATTCAATTAACTGGATCAAAAAAAAATTCATACCCACACCACGCAGGATTTGAACCCTGGATCGTCGATGTAGAAGCCTGATACGTTACAACTGCGCCACCGTTACACTTGGTAGTCGCCGCAACTACAATCTACTTTAAGGTAATAATAAAACTTTAATTATAAATATCTCAAAAACTACTGAGTATCTGCCCCTATAATGGTATATACTCGTAAACAGGAGAACGAGATCTATAAGTGTGCAAAGTTTCAACGAAATCGGTGAGACGAAGGCCTTGCACTCTCCTTGTAAGTGATACCGTTCTGTCTACACTGGTTCTGTACTGTTTCTGCGCGATATTGGATCTGGTCGCGAGCGGGCTTGGTCGCGTTATTATATATTGATGAGCGAGGTCAATCATTTGGTTGTCAGTTCGGGTGAACCACCTCGTTCGCATTGTCAGCGTTCTTGCGATACGTTGGCCCGAACGAGCTGCTCACTCAGACTTTACGGAACTATGAATTCGGATAATGAAATAAGAGTTTAAAGAATGTGGATGGCGAAATAAGGGTTCCAAGAATGCGTCACAGGACGTGGCATGTGATAATGGTGGAGAATACTTATCAAATGAGATGAGGGACTATTGCGTGCAAAGAGGTATTAGTTTTCATTTAACAGTTCCACGAACCCCTCAATTGAATGGTGTTTCAGAACGAATGGTTAGAACAATAACAGAAAAAGCACGCACAATGATAAGTGGTGCTAGTTTAGATAAAGTATTTTGGGGTGAGGCAGTGCTCACTGCTACGAAATTAATTAATTTAACCCCGACTAGAGTTTTAAATGTAAATAAAACACCATTCGATTTGTGGCATAGTAAGAAGCCTAAATTAAGGTATTTCAAGATTTTTGGTTCAACTGTTTATGTCCATAATAAAGTAAGAAAGACTAAATTTGATGAAAAGTCTTGGAAAGGAATATTAATGGGCTATGAACCGAATGGTTATAAAGTATGGGATGTGGAAAGTGAAAAATTTCTCGTAGTGAGAGATGTAATAGTAGATGAAACAAATTACTTGGAAACTCGACCAGTATTGAGACTTGAAAAGGTTAATGAAACCACTTATAACAAAACTGAAGCATCTGACATAGAGTCAAAATCAGTAGAAATAAGTGAAAAGTCTCATAAATCTGATAATGATAAATTAGATGTAGTGGAATCGTGTGCAAAAGTAAGTTCGGAAATAAAATCAGGTAATGAACTTGATAAATCTGTAACAGAAACAGATGTGCGCAATAAGTCTTCGTTTCAAAATGATAATGATAAATTACAAGAGAAATCTGAGCGTAGAAGAAGTGATAGGATTAAGCAGCGTCCGCCTATATCATATAGTGAAAATGACACACAATATGATCTTCTCATGTGTGCACAATCTTTCATTAATAAAATTCCCAATTCATTTGAAGAAATTGAAAGTAGAGAAGATAAAGATAAATGGGAAGAAGCAATTAATGATGAAATAAATTCACTTTTGACAAATAAAACTTGGACCTTAGTAGAGAAGCCTGAAAATATAAATATTGTCGACTGTAAATGGATATTTACTATTAAAAA